AGAATGTGTGTGTGTCCTGGGCCCAGGCGGATCGGTATGTATCTCTGCGTGCACTCGCCGGAGCTCGGGGGTCGGAGGGAACCCGGGAAGGGACTGCCAGGCAGGGTCCGAGGGAAGACGTAACGGTGCTGCTGGTGTCGAATGCTTCTTGCTCCTGCCCCTGCCTCACTGTCCTCTCTGGCAGGCTCATTCCCCATTCAGGTCTGTCAGGGGTAGGAAGGCGCCCGGGGTAAGCCGTTTTACCCCAAGCCGTGGGTGTCTTCGGAATTGTGTTTTGGAGAAAGCTGTCTGTGCAGTGTCAATTGGCCTTACTAGTACAGCTATGGTAAGCCCTTATTAAAGGAAGGGGTAGTATTTTTTCCATTTTTTTAGTGTGACACAGCTAAACAAAAATTTATTACATGACTCATTATTTGCAGCTTGAAAAGTAGCATTTGCATCCTGTTCTGGGCTTGGAAAGATATTTATACTGGGTTGTTCTAATCTCTTGGCAAATCTTCACTGAACTGTAAAATTTCCACTTCATCTCTTTTCCTTGTCTGCCATCTTTTTATCGACCATAATGAACTTGGGATCTCAGAGTAATTATTTAAGTGCTAGCTCTAGTGTCTGGTTATATTTCGGGCATCTGTGTTGTGTGGGGATAAGTGGGAGAGGCTTGGAATAATTTAAGTTCAGGCTGGAAAACTTGGAATTTTGCATTTACTTAATCAACTAGGATTTAGTAAATCTGGTGTGTGTAACAGGCTGATCTCTTAAGCTGACACAGATCTACTGTAAATGATACAGGCCATGGAAAATTTGAGGCCAACTTTATATGATTTCCTCTTGGATTTCATGTCATATTTGATGAACTAAAGATTAAAAATCAGCAAAATATCCTCTGGTGGCACTGCAGAGCCATTACAGCAGCAGTACATTTGTATTTTTGCTACATCATGGGCCAGCAACTAACCTGTCAGAACAGTTTTGACACCACTGTGGGTCAGCACTGAATGCAAATGCTGAGCAGTCAGGAGAGCTTGATTCAGTTAGAGTCTAATGGGAGACCAGTGCTGGATCCAGGGTGTTGCTGTGCGCCAGGCACACCTGTAGAACCTTGAGGTTACCATTCTGTAGGCAGAATTGTTGCTTTTAAGTGTCACGTGAAGAAATATACATAACTGTTACCAAAATAGCTCCCTTCTAATTATAAGGCAGTGAATAGAATTTAAAATCTATATTTGGAGTTGCAGTCCACTGCTGTCATGCAATGTGCATGTGGAGCCTGGACTGGGGAAAATCTGAGGAGCAAATGGCTAACATAAATTCAGTGCTTATCTGAGGTTTGAGCCAGGACACTGCTGCTGAGTGTTTGGACTACAACCAGAGCTCTTCCTGGTGCCTGCACAACAGAAAACTGACCAGTTCAGTCTTCACAGCTGTCAGTGGGAATCTTGGGGAGGTCAGTGGACAAGAGCTTTTGTCAATGTAAGACAAGACTGACAGTCACTCAGTAAGACTGGGAAGCCAGTGGAGTGATAGCGACATGAATTCTACTTTGCTTGTTGCACTTACATATCTTGTAACAGAGAAATGGGTTCCATTACACGTTACCTAAGAACAAGCAAGCTTGGAGGGAAGAATGTGACTTGCTTCCCTCTAGTGAAACAGAAGAAGGTAGACCTTATATTTCCAGACACTCCTTTGCTGGTCTGGGTGATCCGAATCCTATGGCTGAAGCTATGGAGAGCTCACAGAATAGGGTGATTGCAGAATGCAATTCCTCCTATATTGCACAATCCTTTAGCCTGAGTGCTGGGGCTTGCTGCATATTTTGTAGGGATTGTGTCTCATCTGAAATACCGGTATGCATGCTTGCCTTAAAAAACCTCAGTTTCGTGGCTGAAGCACCTTGCATAACACAGCAATACCAATTTTTTCAGAAAAACAAATCTGGGATATAGTGGTGCAGATAGATGAGTATTTACAGCTGCAGTAAGTATTCTAATGGTCTTTTCTGAGAAGAAGCTTTTATGATGAAACTTGATTATGAAAGTTAGAAAGAGAAAATTGAATTCCCCTTAACTCTGTGTACTTCATGCAAGACACGGTTCAACTCCATTTCCACTGCGGAATTGTTCTCAAGTGTGACATGCGCTATGCCTTATTATCAGGAAGTCTTTTACAATAAGTGTTTTGAGAGGTCCTCACACTAATGTTGTGATTTGGTATGTAAATGGAGAGAAGGAAGGGTATGTTAGAATAATCTGTCTTCAGGGGAATGAAAAATAAGGAAAGCTTTTAGATGTGGCAAGTAGTAGTAGGATTTTTTTGGATACTAAATAGTTTATCTTAAGGCTGAACTACCTTTAGAGTATTGTGCAGGGCTCTATTCTAGTCATGGAAGCAAAGAGTTTGCATGTAATCCTTCAGCTGAGTAGCTTTTTAAGGTGTTTTTTAATCCTGAAATTTACTGGAGTAGACACGCTGCTTTCTACCTCTTGTATTTTTTTTTAATCTTAAGCTAGAAAATTGCTGCATGGGACTGCTGTGGCTATTTTGTATCTGTACACCTTGGTGTCACACAGGTTTGATGTTTTACATGTGAAAAGGAAGTGAAGAAACAAAACCTGCTACTGGCTCTATTTACATAAAGAGTATCTGCTGCATGTGACCCACTGCTTTCTTCTGTTGTTTAAACCACCATCTTAAACCCGGTTGTATGTGATCTCAGATTTGAGTCCTACTGCCAGATGCTTCGTTGTATGTGATCACAGATTTGAGTCCTACTGCCAGATGCTTTTTCTTCAGCCTTACAGAAAGACAGTTTTCCTCTCCATGTGCCACATCTGGCTCTGTCAGCTGTGAAATCACCAGGAAAGCAAATACCTATATAAGGCCTTTAGAAGGTGGTAATACTGTAGAGTGTTCCATGCTAATTGTTGTCCTAGGCTATTTGAAGCTTTGTTGTCTGTGTGATGTTTTCCCTTCCTGCCTGCTGAGTGGGTATAAGAGCTAAAATATCTTTGCTGAACTTAAGTATGATATAGCTATTTTGTTACAGCCCAAAGTAGTGTCTATGAACAAGCACTCAATACCTTTTCTTTGTCAAGTCCTGTGAAACTATGAACTCCATCTAATAAGCAACTTGGTTAAGGGCTGTACATGTCTTAATACTTGGGGGG